TTCCCAGTACCCAGCTCCACAAAATGCCTATCTACCCCCACGAGCTTAGTGAAAACCCCCTGGATCAGGTTTTCGGCTCAATCAAGCCTTTAAGAACGAGAGGTTATAGAAGAAGAAAACATTCACTCCATTGGGAGTGTCATATGCCAGTCTGTTCCAGAGGCTAAGGAAATTGGACATGTTGAAGCCGACCTAGATAAAAATGTCAAACCCTCTTCCAAAGAAGTTTGATTTTTCTCAAAGGTGCACCGATTGCTCAGATGCCCTAGGGCATGACATAGAGAAGTGTTGGAATCTGAAGAATGCAATTCAGAAGCTTATTGATATAGGCAACATTGTCGTGCAAAGTCCAGATGCAGTAGACACTAGCCAAAGTCCATCACTTGTGCATAATGAGACACATATGGTGGGTATGATTTGTCTTGAAAAGGAATATGAGAATTCTTCTAAGGTCCTCGGAGGTCCACGTGCTGTGAAACTTTCAACGCTATCAGATGTTGATCCTAAGAACGAGCAGGCAAAAGGAACCCAAAAGCAATTTGTTAAGAACAATGTGATGGAGACTTGTGAAGGTCCTAGTATTGTTGATGCAGAAGTCAGTGGCTAAGATATTGAGTTTGGTGATTGGAAAGATGCTCCATCTCTTGGTTAACCAGAGAGGAGTCTTGGTGGTTTGTTTTGTTGTCATTTCTGTTGTCCGGGTTACTGTAGGGTTGTAATTCGGATATTGTCTTATGATTCAAACCGTTCTATCATTTTATTTTGTCTAGTTCTTTAGTTGTAGTTTCTCATTAAGTGTTATCTAGGTTTGTTCTAGGGTTGTACCCCAGTATATTTTGCTTGTTTTGTTGTTCAAACCCTTTCACCGTCTGTCTAATACAATTCTCTATTTTTTTACTATTTCTAATCATTTTTGTTTAGTTCTCTTCTCCTTTTATAGTTCGTTTCATGTTGGTCCTAGTGACATGACATGCACGCATAATTCTCATCCTAATCTTTAAAAGTCAATTTAGTTAGGAAGCAATGAAACAATTTTGAAGATGATAGTGACATTTGAGGGAAATAAGTAAAGGCATTGTGAGATCACTTCAAGCCCGAATTGTGTGAAACTGGGGCAGATAGAACATAGAGAAACCCTATTGAAACGCAACATGCTGCATCAGGGTGAAGATAACGACAAGTTTGCCCCAAATTTGTAGGGGGTCATTCGTGGTAATGAAAGTGAGAGTGTTGTCCAATGGTGCTTTGTATGTAACAAATGTAGAAGGCGAATGTGTGGATATGGTTATCATGTCTGGCGCAATCAAAAGATGTTCCGAATGCTTTCCTTGGTTTGTTTAATTGTGTTGTTTGTACTTGGCATGTTTTGGAGATTGGAATGATGAAGGCATTTTGTTCTGCTATTTAAACACTTTATCCTTTGTTACCTCTTTGAGCCTTATTTATTTTTCTTTCATACCCCTCTTTTGGAATCAGTAGTAAAGATCAGAGACGCAAGCGTGAAAGATAAGTAAAGGAAAAAAAGAAGGAAAGGAAAAAAAGGAAGAAAAAGAAAGAAAAAAAGAAAAAAACAAAATAACAAAAAGAGAAAAAAAGAAAGGAGAGAAAGAGGAAGAAAAAGGAAAGAAAAATCACAACAACAAAGTGATTGATATGACATGAACTACGTTCGACCTGATTCCTTTTAAGGATACGTAGGCAGCCTCAAGGTTTGGTCCCATCAAAATAAAAATCCAAAAGTCCCCAAGCAAAGAAACTGGGGCAGAATTGTGATTGCTGTATGAAATCTGATATCAAAAGTTGTAATTTTAAACCCATGTCGAACTGTTTTGTGCCTTTGATACCCTTTCTTTCTAACCCCACCCAAAAGCCCGCATTATAGTCCAAAAAAAGACCTTCCGATCAGTCTTCGAGAGATACCAAGTCGAGCAAATATAGGTGATTCATATCAGGGGCAACACTCTGGTCCAAGAAGGAAAAATAATGAAAATAAGAGAGTCTTATCGGTGAAAAGCCTCACAGGCACCGTAAGGCAATGGGAGTTGAGAGAAATAAAAATGAGAGAGTCTTATTGGTGAAAACCTTCACAGGCACCTTGAGGCGACTGAAAGTTGAGAGAAAGAATCAAATGAAAGAGGCTTGATGGTGAAAACCCTTTGGGCGCTACAAGTCGAATAAGGATTGTAAATCAGATTGGATAACCGGAGCATTGAAGCCCATTTTCACGGCTTAGAGGGTACAACAATAGTTGAACATCATACTTGCTTGACAGAATAGGCCACAGGTGCATGTCATGGTCGTTAGAGTTGGTATCCAATCTGATAGGCTTCTCCTTTGTAGTTTTCTTGTTAGGAATCATCTATTTCCCTTGTCCTTTACTCTATTTCTTTTGTCGTGTTTACTTCCTTTTTCTGAGTCTGTTTGGTTAAAACAAGTGAGAAATGACTTCAAAATTTGTCACCAGCTTTCCAAGTGCACAAAATGAGATCTGGCTAGCACATCAAAACGTCATAAGTCAGGAAAAAACAACAAGCGCACTAAACTGGTAACAATCAACATGCTTTGGGATCCTTATGAAATACAAAGCTTTGGTACATATCAGTCCCGGGACAATGCAACAAATGGAGGGTGTTAAGGATCAAAGGTATCTTTTGTGGTAAGATTGACAAAAGTGGTTAACCAGTGGCAAGCGAGGTCTTCTAAGCAGAAATCAAAGTTATCATGGCAAGGGAGGGAGCAGTAGACCTCAAGGCCAGGGCCAGTGGTTTAAGTCAAGGAAAAACAGCATATACACTGAGTTGGTAACAATCAACATGCGTTGGGATCCATGTGAAATACAAAAAAAAGGTGGTAAACCAGTGACAAGCAAGATCTTCCATGCAGAAATCAAAGCTATCATGGCAAGCCATGGAGCAATAGACCTCAAGACCAAGGCCAGTGATTTAAATCAGGAAAGAACAACGTGTGCATTGAAGTTGGCAATAATCAATATACCGTGGGTATCATGTGAAACACAAAGGTTTGGTAGATTTTGGTTCATAAGCAATGCAACAGATAGAAGGTATTGGGTCTGAATGGATCAGAGGTATTTTCTATGATAAGGGTAACCGAGAAAGTGGTCAGTCAATAAACAGGCAAGGTCTTTCAAGTTGAAACCAAAGTTATCATGGGAAGTGAAGGAGCAATCGCGCTCAAAGTCAATGCCACAAACCAACCATCATATTTATAAACTCACAAGTTTTCTTTGTTTGAAACAGGGACGAAAATTGTGTCCAAATCAAAGCTTGGAAGTTTGAATTTTTTTTCAAGTGTCATGCCAAAAAATTTTCAGCACAAAGGCGGTTTGAGAAAGGGAAAGGAAAATTTATTCGATCTGTAGGAACCCTCCATGAGGAAAATCATGGTTCAGAGGCAAGAAATTTTGTTCGTTATGCAGAAATCCTCCAGAAAGAAAACATGGCTTAGGTAAGTTCATTCTCGGCTCTTCAGGACCCTCCTGGATAATGGGATTTAGTTTTAAGTGTTCAGGACCCTCCTAGACAATGGGATTTAGTTCTAAGACCTTCATAGAAAATAAGATTTAGCGTAAGTTTTACCTTTAGGAAATAGGATTTAGCTTTGAAGTTGTCACTCTTAAGGTAAGGTTTATTTTGAAATTCTTAGGACCCTCCTGGAAAATGGGACCTACTTTAAAATTCAAAACAATCATGAGTAGTAAAATCTAGCATAAATGTATCACAAGGAATATAAGATGGTTTTAAAGTTCGCATGTTGGAGATAGGATTAAATTAGCAATTTTCAGGATCCTCCTGAATAATGGGGCCTAGCTTTAAGATTGTTGTTAGATAACAAAATGTAGCGGAAATAATACCTTTAGAAGATATAATTTAGATTAAAAATTATCGTTTAATTAAGAGTTGTCAGGACCCTCCTGAATAACGGGACCTAGTTTTAAGATTGCCATTAGATAACGAAATTTAGCGTAAGTTCTGTTATATGGTAATATAATTCAGCCGTAAAGAAATGTCACTCTTAGGATAAAACTTGACTTTTGATTTTCAGGACACTCATGGATAAGAGGGAATAGTTTAAGATNNAGAGTTGTCAGGACCCCCTGGATAATGGGACCTAGCTTTCAAATTCTTAGTAATATTTGGTAATATGATTCAGTTTAACACTCACATATGCGCCCAGGTACCAAACTGGGGCAGAAATCTTTCTTTGTTTTGTCTATTTTTGTTGAAATCAGGGACCCGCTTGGAGAACAGGGAGAAGCAGTTCAATTTCAGCAATCAGGAGCCCACCTAGAGAACAAGGGAATACATTTCAATTTCAGCAATCAGGCACCCACCTGGAGAGCAAGAGAATACAATTCAAGTTTCAGCAATCAGGCGCCCACCTGGAGAGCAAGGGAGTACAGTTCAAGTTTCAGCTTTCAAGTTCTTAGTAATATTTGGTAATATGATTCAGTTTAACACTCACATATGCACCCAGCTACCNTTTTATATTTTAGCATGTAAATATTTAATTTAGGCATAATATAGCTATTTCAACTCATTTTGACTCTTTTACTTTATTTTCTCTTAGAAATAATAATTAAAAAAAATACTTTCCATTATTAGTTAATTTTAGTTTATCTTAACTTTGATAAAATTAAAAAAAATAGACAAAAGAAAATGTCACATGGGTTTAAATTAAGATGTACGTAGTATAAGTGGTTAATACGTAGTATTTTTGATTTTCTCAAAAGCTTTTCGTTACTGTGCAAAGTTTATGTGTTATTTTCTTTTAATTTAATTAACTAGTTATATTTTGATATTTCAAACTCCTACCAAGTTCAAGAAACAAAGGACCCGTTAGTTTTTTTTTATTTATGTTCTTTTTCTTTAACAAACTTTTGGAACCTCACGTTATTTATTTATTTTTAAGAAAAAGCATACACAATACACATTCTTGCAAATTCACTCTAATATTTGACCACCCCCATTCATTATCTCACCACTTGCACACTCCATTCAATTCAATGTCTTCACACTCACACCCCATTCAATTCAATGCCCTCAAACACACACTCCATTCTTTCACATTATAGTGCACACTTACGATTTAAAAATGACACCCACCAATTTTTGTTTGACACTTTTTCAATGCATGAGCCCACAAAAATCTTCTTTTCCAACATAATCAAAATCCATCTGCACACATTATATATATAATCCACTTACATTTGGAAAGAGAGGAGGATATCAGATTTGAGACCCATTCCCTTCCAAAAAAAGAGCAACGACGCTCTCTGAAGAATGACAAAAAATAGTGCCGATCCCCTCCCATCATCTTCTTTCGACTCTTATTCAATCTTGATTAGATAGCACTTTCTTTATTTCATTTACACCTAGACTCACTCATACAAAGCTTCACAAACACACAACAAATACATTTAAAAAAATCTGGGTGCCATTACCATCACAAGGGGACCTTTTCCTCACATCTCTGTTTGGATCTGTAAGCCTAAAGCAGCTACTCCTTCTTCAGCCATTTTTTTCCCTCCCAAATGCCACCATGAAATCCTCTTATCTTCTACCATATCCAGCTAAAAATAAATAGCAAAAACACAGCAGCTCTGAGAGCTGAGTTCGGGGTCGGCGTCGAGCTTCTCTGTTTGGGTCTCAGTCGTGGTCTGTTTGTGCGAGGGCTTAGCAGTTCGTTACCCCTTATGTATTGAAGATTATATTTCAACTATTAAAAGGTCTGTTTCAATCACTTTCTTCCCTTCTCATGTTTTCATGTTCGTGACTAGTTCGGCATATTTGCAAGCGAATTGATTTAACAAGTTATATCATGCTTCATTAGTCATTTATTTTGTTGGATGCTATAAGTTGTTGGCTCTAATATAAGTTCATGTAGGTTTAATTTGTTGAGTTTGAATTACTGTTAATTAGCGTTATATCCTGTTAGTTTATCTTATTTGGAGAATTTTTTTTTTAATTATTTTTATATAGTTTGTGTGTTGTTTATGTGAGCAGTGAAGACTTCATTGTTAAAAGGCAAGAACTCATCGAACAGTTAGACCATTAGTTATTCTAGCTTCATATTCTGAGGGCATGACATTGGGTGCATAATCATGGGAGACATTTTGTGTAAAGTTTGATATTGCTAAATGGTTGTTAAGTAATGTTTTTCAGTTGGTCTTTTGTTATGATAGTATACATTGGAAACGAACTAAAAGTAGGCAAAAAATGGATATTGTCTTACAACAATTTATAAAATTGGATTTGCATGGAAAGTGTTTTCGTTACTGGTTTTGGTTTTTGCTTTATGAAAGCATAAATATTGAATGATGATTGGATAATAATAATACTAATGATTTTTAGCTTTACAAGGATATAAATGAGAAAATTTTGAAAAATATATGTTACTTGTGGATGGAACGTTTAAGAAGCTACAATCATAGATTTTTTTTTATTATTTAGTACATAGAATATAATTTTCAATCATAATCTGTGGCCCTCGCTTAATTAATATTTTTATCCTTAGAAATTGAGGCGCGTCATTTAGCGAATTTTTCATGGCCCTCGCAAAGTTGAAAGTGCGTAGTGGTTTTAGGCGCGTTATATTAATAATTTACCTTCCTAAACTCGGGTGTGCATTTATGTGACCCAAATCCAAATCTCAACAACGTTAGATAAAATATGTTGCGAACCGCGGGTGCATTTATGTATCGTGGCTTACGATGTATTTTAAATAATTTTGAATTTTTTCCAAAATATTAAAAGCGACTAAAACAATAGAACCTTTTGCTTTTGCTTTTGGCTATTATACTCCATGTGAGGTGTTGTTGTGGTCCTATACACATAATGCTTTCATTTCACCTTATAATATTTATAATATGATTTGCAGATCAGTACAAAGTATTTTTTTTATTTATTTTTATTCATTGATTGCTCCTACTTTTGAAAGTGGGTCTCTGTTTTTAGTTTTGATTTTTTTTTTAGAATAAAAAAGAAGAAAGCAAATTTATAGTACTAACATTTATATCATTTTATTTTAGTTAAAACACCGAATAATGCCTTATTTTCTTAGTGCCTAACCATTTTATGATATGGTACAATTGTTGAATCATATTAGAGCCGTGTTTCTTTTTTGTTTGTTTGTTACATGTCCTTTTCGTGGTATAATATAACATACTTCATTCCGTGTGCACAACTTTTGATTACCCGAAAATTTAGGCAATTCTTTCCTTATTTTAGAATAATATTTTGTATTAGGATTGAATTGGTCCTAACGACAACAATGAAAAGGCGATTTAATATATTATTTTGATTATGTATACGTTCGCGTAACATAATTACGAATTCCGTTCTAAAAAATTTAAATCGAGGTATGCGTTCGTGCAACTTCGATCAAAATTTTCTTTAATAATTAATAAAGCGTTAATTAATTGTAGACACGTTCACGTGACATGATTTTTAATGCGCCAAAATAAAAGAGTATACGTACGCGTAACTCAATTCTTTGATTACGAATAATTCAAGTAATTTAAAAGCGGTAAAAATATAATCGCACATAGGTCTTAAAAATGAGTAGTTAAATAATTTAAGCCAAGTATAAATTGCTAAGCGACCGTTCTAGAACCACGTAATCCGGGGGTGCCTAACACCTTCCCTCGGGTTAACAGAATTCTTTATTCAGAATATCTGGTTTGCAGACTTCAAAAGGAAAGTAAACCTTCCTCGACTCGGGATTTTAAACTGGTGACTTGGGACACCATAAAATGATCCTAAGTGGCGACTCTGAAAATAAATAAAATAATCTCATTTCGAATAATGTCACTTAAATTGGAAAAACTCCTCATATACCCCTCGGGTGTGTAAAAATGGGGTGTGACATCCTCCACTTGGCTCGAAGCCATAGATCAACACACACTCAATAACTCATAACGATTATACTCTATTGATGACATGATACCGTAGTGAGATTAAACTCAAATCTTTTATAAGCTTGTGAAAACACATATCATCTAGAATTTTAACTCTTCTGCAAATCTCGCATTCCACTCTCGCAACAGTTACACCCACTCTCTAAGTGACCCAATTTAAATTGCAACACATATTTTTCACTCGCAAATGAGATCTTCTAACAGACAACCTCAGAACATTTCGCAGGAGACAACCCATGTGCTTTACCTCTAACTAACATTTCTGTATACCTTCCACCGTCATAAACTGTACGCAGTCACTTAGTCTTCCTGAGTCTGAACTCATACCGCAACATGAAATTTACTTCACTCACAACTGAGAAACATGAAAAGATCCTTCACACTCCAATAACTCGGAGCTATACCTCGAATCAAGATGGAATCAAAGCACCTAATAGTTTTTCTATCCTCTAGCAGACCTTCTCGTCGCTTCCAAATCATGTGGATACATCTCGCAGTACCAACATACTCATCACATAGTTATCCAGCCGTCACTTCCACTAATAGGGACAATACCGAACATATATGTTCAAAAATACTTGCTCACACAATCAACACCTCGGTGCTCAAGCTATAAGCAAAGATCCGGCCTCAAGTCCTCCAGACTTGCCCAACATCAATGCACAGAGATCACATCTCGACCCTCGATTAGGGAATCACAAGCCATCGAGGCACATATGATACTGAGCGCTCATGCACGCATACGAACGCGTGGAAGGAATTCAAAGAGTTACATTTCAAGCTAAATCAAGAACGCACGATAATAATTCAAGAATGTGAAGTTTTCCTAAAGGTTCTGCAGCCTCTCAAGGATAAATACAAACGTCTCTGTACCGATCTGCGAGACTCTGCTATACCTGCTCATGACTCGTGAGACCTATGTAACCTAGGTTTGATGCCAACTTGTCACGATCCTAAACCCGAACCCGATCGTGATGGCACCTCTCGTGAAGACAAGGCCAGCCAATTAAACCCAATTCACTTTTTAAACAGTTAAATATCACAAAATCAGTCTAAAATATGATATAGCAATACTAAGTAGCGGATAATGTCAATAAAGTATGGAAGTACAACCCAACACAGCCCTAACCGGGGTGTCACTAGTCATGAGCATCTATAATTCATAATACAAGTCTGCTAACTCTATAAGCTAGTACAGATGTTTGAAAAGAGATAGAGATGATAAGGGAGTAGAGACACGGGGCTAGGGACGTTAAAAGCTACCTCGTAATCTCTGGAAGCCCGCCTGAAGCTGGAGATATCAACACTCGTGAGTGCTACCAACAATGCATGAATCTACACACAGGGGTGCAGGGAGTAAAGTGAGTACTCCAATTCAGTGAGTAACAAATGTAAATAAAGACTGAAGGTAAGAAATCACGTAAAGCATATCAAGATGTTGTATGGAAGTAGTTCAAAAACCAATAAGAAAGCAGTGAAGCTGTAAAATCTCTTTAAACATCTTAGCTCAGTTTAAACTTCTTTGAAAATGGTTTTTTCAACAGTACGCAAATGAATGCAAAACAGTTAGTGCAGATAAGCACAAAAATCCGCCACTCAGGCACAAATATCATAGTTTAACAGGTAAATATGAAAGATAAACACATAAAGGTTCGCCCCTCGGGCTCAATGTCAACAACTCTGCCCCTCGGGCAAATATCTCAGAATAATATCTGCCCCTCAGACAATCACATAGAACAGTACCAGCCCCTCGGTCAATCACATAGAACAATAACATCCCCTTNGCACAAATAACATAGTTTAACAGGTAAATATGAAAGATAAACACATAAAGGTTCGCCCCTCGGGCTCAATGTCAACAACTCTGCCCCTCGGGCAAATATCTCAGAACAATACCAGCCCCTCGGGCAATCACATAGAATCGTACCAGCCCCTCGGGCAATCACATAGAACAATACCAGCCCCTCGGGCTATCACATAGAAGAATATTAACCCCTCGGGCTATATCTCACATCACAATGGGTACCCGTGCTCACTGGGGGTGTACAACCTTCGGGAGGGGCCCCTTACGGCCCAAGCGCAATATCAAACCATCTCGTGGCATCAAATCTAGGCCCTCGGACTCATACCAGTCAAGCCACCTCGTGGCGTATATATCTAAGGCCCTCGGCGTCATAAACAATATCAACAAGCCACCTATATCTCAGGCCCTCGGCCTTAAATTAGTATCAATGTTTCCTCACAACTAGGCCCTCGGCCTTCCTCAATCAAAAATACTCACAAGCCCCTCAGGCATTAGTAAAATAGTATTTCTCAGCCCAAAACATCATTTAAAATATAATTTAAGTCTCAAAACAGAGTAAAAATGGCTGAGTAGTAAAACAGTGAAAAATAACATGATTGAGTTCAATTAGTAAGTCAAAACAGTGAGGAAATAGTAATAAAAATCCCCGAAGGGTTCAAATAGTTAGCACGAAGCCCAAATATGGAAATCAACCCAAATCATGATGATAACATATAAGTTTCAGTCAAATGCACGGTAAAATCATCAATCGGGACGGACCAAGTCACAATCCCCAATAGTACACGACCTACGCTCGTCATCAAGTGTGTGACTCACCTCAATATAGCACGACGATGTGCAATCCGGGGTTTCAACTCGCGATTCCTTTGCCCATCAAATCAGCCTCCACGCGCATCGAATCTATCCAAAATCAGAACAAATACATCACAATATGCTAAGGGAACAAAGCCCAAGCAAAAACAATCGAATTACCACAAAATTCCAAAAATTGGTCAAACCCGACCCTCGGGCTAACATCTCGGAATCGAGTAAAATTTACATTTTCAGAATCCTCATACTCTCACGAGTCTAACCATACCAAAATTATCCAATTCCGGTACCATTTGGTCCTTCAAATCATCATTTTATAATTTTGGAGGATTCCACAATTTTTCTTCCCAAATTCCATCCCAAATCACGAATTAAATGATGAATTCAATGATAGATTCATGTATTCTACCCAAATCTAAGTTAGAATCACTTACCTCGATGAATTTCTTGAAAAACCTTCGAAAAATTGCCCAAATTCGAGCTTTCTAGGTCAAAATATCAAATAAAACCCAAAACCTCGTATTTATAGAGTACCCCACAGATTTGCACCTCCGCGGACCGCACAAAATCGACCGCGGTCTGCACAAAACCAGTGCAGTCCTCACAAAAACGACCGCCGCCGCACAGGCTTTCCTCTGCAGTGATAATCTTTAGTATTTTGGCCATAACCTTCGCTACAGATGTCCAAATTATGATATCTTTACCTTTCTAGACACTAGACACGAAGGGCTACAACTTTCGTTTTTAAATTATCTCAAATTTCTTGTAGATCAAAAGATATGAGCTTCCGAAGTAGGGCCACTGAAACGTTCCCCACCGTGGCCGTACAGCATTTTGTGCGGTCCGCCCAGCACCTACCGCGGCCGTACTTCTTTTTGTGCGGACCGCGCAGGTGGGTTTCGAGTCCTGCAACCCTTCTGGACCTGCTACAACTATGATTTTTGGCCTAAAACTACCTGGAACTTCAAATCAATTGTACCAACACATCTCATGATACCGTTCAAACTTGTTCAAAACTTCGAAACGCTCACAACAACATCAAATCACTAATTTAACATATGATTCAAGCCTCAGAACTCCAAGAACTCTTAAATTATGCTTTTGATCAAAAAGTCTATCAAATCTCGTCCGAATGACCTGAAATTTTGCACACACATCCCAAATGATACAACAAAGCTACTGCTTGCTCTCAGAATTCCATTCCGACCTCTATATCAAAATCTCACCTATCAACCGGGAAAATGCCGAAATCTCAATTTCGCCAATTCAAGCCTAAATATTCTCTACAAATCCAAAACTCATTCCGATCGCGCTCCTAAGTCACAAATCACCTAACAGAGTTAACCAAATTATAAAAATTCCGATCCGAGGTCATATACAAACAAGTCAAATACTGGTCAAACCTTTCAAATTTTAAGCTTCCGAACTGGGAACTGTTCTTTCAAGTTTATTCCGATTATCCTGAAAAACCAAAACCAACGATTTACATACGTCTGCATCACACGGGGCAACTCATGCTCGAGAACTGGTGAGCAAAATACAAAAGCTCAAAACGACCGGTCGGGTCGTTACATCAACCTTGTAGGGTTATAATATTTGGCATTGACCGTCTTACACTATTTAATTAAAGTGTAATTTGAGCGTATCAGTTATTCCTGCCCCTGTACTACTATATATTAGTTATTATACCCCCCATTATACTATTCAACCCTTTCTATCCATGCCGTTAGTGTTATAGATAAAATTACCCTCTCATTAACGGACCTAACCGAAATGGACACGTGGCTCAATCTTAAGACACCCAGCCCTTTTTTTTTTAATTATCGTTTGGTTAACAATTTTTACACTCGATTTTAACCCAAGTGTGACCCGATCAATAACCCTTTAACGAGATCATTTAAATAGATTCTTTCAGCCCTTTTATCTCATTACACCTAAATCTAAGAGATCGTTTCTTCTTCTTACTCCATCCATCTGCCGATTCTTGTATCTCCTATTGTGTAAAGGTATTAAAATTCCACCAAAACTTAGGATTCACTGTTGTTAGCCTATAATTTTTGTAGTAATGTGTCTTAAGTTAGCGTTTATTTTATATCGATTTCAGGGTTTCCTGATTTTATCATTTTTAGTTAGGGATTCGTGTATGGGTTGATTTGTATATTGTTTTTACTGCAATTTCTAATTATTCTAATGCAACTTTTGGCTTTTTCTTTATGTGCCAAATTTTGACTTAACTGCATATGGGGTAATATTACTCACTAGTGGTCCTGAATGTGGGGTAGTCCAATTATTTTAGTAATTTTGTATTTCTTTTATACATTCATTATTTTGGTTGATGTGTTGGTCCCATTTTTCTATTTTCTTTGGGTGATTTAGGGTTTGGAGATGATTTTATGGCTATGGTGGTTTAGGTTAAGTGAACTTTATTGTTTTTATTTGTTTTTCTTTATTTTATTATTCTTATATGGTATTGTTTAATGCATGGATCAATAATGAGTTAATTTAGTTTAGTTTGTGTCGGTCTTCTTAGCTCAACTTTTTAATAATTTGTTATGATCTAATCTTTATTTATGTTATTTAATTTCAGATCAACAAAATGGTTAATCTGGACATAATATTACTATGGTGGGGAATAGAGTAGAGAGCCACAAATGAAGTATGCTAAGAACCTGTTGCACACTTGGACAAGTTACGACTCTGACCATCTTTCATAAAAAGACATTGTAGATGAGTTTTGCAATAAATTAGGGTTTATTGGTATTCAACAGCTTATAGTTTCTGCCCCTTCTGGTAGCTACTATGAAGTTGAAGGGGATAATGGCATTAGGTGCATGTTAGAAATGGTTGGTACTGATTATAATGTTATTAATTAGTTTGTTGTTGAGGAATGTGAGATTTCAGTCCAAGTACCTAATATTACTCAATATGATAAGGTTGTAGTACCTGATTTTGAGGTTGCTACTGACTGTAGCTCAACTGATGGTGAGGATAGTGATGAGTATGATTCTGAAGAATTAGATACTATTGCAACTCAAAGAAACATGAGCATTATTGATCAGCTCCTTGATTATAAGGAACTAGACAAGAGTATGACCTTCAAGGACATCTCTGAAGCTAGGGAGTGTATAAAACTCTATGATATGGCAAATAAGAAAGATATAGTTCTTAAAAAAAGTGATAAAATACGGCTTAGGTATGAGTGTCAAATTGGCTGCCCATTGTTTGTTTAATCTCTAAAGATGGGAACTGTCCAGGGGTAAGAATCAATACCTTAAACCCACATCATGACTTCTATGTTGCGTATGATAATAGTATTGTTGACTACTGTACTATTGCATATTATTTTAAGAAGAAGTTACAAAATAATCCAAAATATAAAGTGAAAGAGATGAGGCTGACCTGAAAGATGCATTTGAGATGAATGTTAGTCATGGAAAATGCAAGAGGGAAAAAGCATTGATTCTTAATAAACTGCAAGGAAGCATTAAAGATGAGTATTATAAGCTAGAGGCATATGCCAATGAGTTGAAGATCAGTAATCCTGGTAGTGATATTGTTATTAACTTGTCAAAAGATGCACTAGCTGAAGGTAATAGGAAATTTTTAAGAATGTATATATGTTTCAATGCACGGAAGATGGGTTTTAAGGCTTGTTTGAGGCATTTCATTGGATTGGAGGGAATATTTCTTAAGGAAAAAGCTAAAGGATAGCTTCTAGTTGTTGTTGGTCAAGACTCAATGAACCATTTTTATCCTATAGCATGGGCTGTAGTGGACAAAGAAACAAAGAGGACTTGGGACTGGTTTTTGGGATTGCTAAAAAGGTCATTGGACCTACAGAATGGAGAAGGATACACTTTCATCTCAGACATGCAAAAGGTACTTTTCAACTGTTTATTTCAGTAAACTTTCTATTTTTTCAATGTCTACTTTTCCATACTTCATTTCAGTTGTTTTCTGTTCTTTTATAAACTTTTTCTTTTATGTTTGGTTCATGACTTGTAGGGTCTGATTGAGGCAATGAGAACAACACTTCTTGAAGCTAATCATAGATATTTTGTTAGACACATTGAGGCTAACTGGTGTAAGAGATGGAGATCTAGGGAGATGAAGAAGCTTTTATAGTGGTGTGCATGGAGCACTTATGAGGATTATTTTCAAGATCAATTAAAGAATATGGGGGATATGGATGAAGATGTTGTAAGGCATTTGCTACATTATCCTGCTCAGTCATGGTGTAGAGCTTATTTTGACATTGTGTGCAAGAATATGGCAGTGGACAATAATTTCACAGAGTCATTCAATGCATGGATCTTGGATGCAAGGTATAAACCAATAATCAAAATGTTGGAAGACATTAGTGTTAAGGTGATGACCTTATTGAGAGAACATGAAGATCAAGTGAAGTCATGGACTCATGACTTCAGTCCACAAAGCATGAAATTGTATGCTGATTACTTGAAGATTGCTCACATATGTATGGTTCACTTTAATGGAGATGTTGGTTATGAGATTAGAGAAGGAGTAGATGAACATACTGTCAAAATAGAAGTGAAGCAATGCAGTTGTAGGCAATGGCAACTCTCAGGAATACCATGTCCTCACACAATCAAAGCAGTGATATACAAGAGGAATGATCCTTTTGGAGCAAATGTATTGGTGGTATAGCAAAGAAGCTGCTCAAAAGACTTATTCACATAAGTTGCAGCTTGTTGGGGGTGAGAAATTCTGGAAAATAGACTCATCACAGGCCATGGAACCACCATACTTAGTGAAATTAGCTGGCATGCCTAAACTGAAGAGAAATATGCAAAAAGATGAGGCAAGCAAGAGACAAGGTGAATGGTCTGCTTCAAGGAAAAGGAGAACCATGAACTGCAGTTGCTGTGGAGAACGAAATCATAATGCAAGAGGGTGTACAAAGGTGATTTGTTACTCTTATTAGTCGTTAACAGTAGACTTTCTATTATCTAACAATTTGTTACTTATTTATGACAATCATCTAGTGCATAATCTAAAGGAAAGCAGACAATAAAAAGGGAAAGTATTGTAGATTATGAATACATTGATGAAGAAATACCATTATCAGGTCCCAATAATCGCAAAATAGTCAAGCCTCCAGCAGTCCACTCGTGTTCATTCCTACCCCAACTGTTTTTGGTAGCATTTCATCTCTCCTAGATGTTACTAGTAGGAGACTTTTACCTCCACAATTTGCATATGAAGAAGACTCTGCTATAAGGTCAAAAATTATTTTAGAGACAAGGACAAGGCTTCAAGTGAGACAAGAACCAACTCTTCCATCTGTGATAAGATTTATCCCCTTAAGAAGTGGCTCAACTGGTGTGGGTGATCCTTCAAATCTGCCCTACTTACCAAGAGTACTCACATGGAAGGGAAAAGAGGTTGTAACTAGCAACCAACTGGAGATGTAAGCTCAGAAAAAAATTAGAAAATTGCAGGCAAGAAAGGGAAATAAGAGTACTATGTTGGAGTAATGGGAAGTAGGTTTTAGAATAATAGTTTGAGACTTAGTTTTTTGTCAAAATAATTTGGTTGGTGATGTAATTTACTGCTTATGCCATTACATTTACTACTACTCTTTTTTTGCTAGGTTGGTGATGGCAGTTGGATGCCATAGTATGACTTAGGTGGTAACTTCTTTTAGGGTTATAATATGGCATCCGTATGTCAATTTAATGTACCTTAACAATTAACATTTTAAATTAATGGCAATAGTTATTTAATACGCTTGTTATGTCGTTTTAATATCATGTTATATGTATCAACCTGTTTATGTGAATCTTAGCTATTGAACAAACCCAGAATTGGATGTTTTTTATCTAGTTGGATACTCAGATTTGGATGCTTTAATAGATGAGAATCTTCAAACAAATGCAATAGCAATACATTTATTAGCTACTGTAATAGCTTCACCAGATACTCTATTGCGTTCCTATGTTGAATGCTTAGGTTTTACATTACAAATCAACTGCATTTCCTTATATAACATGCCTCGTCCCAACCTTTTTTTTCCTCCTCGAGATAGCTCGTAAAACTTGTGCTAGTACACAAATGTAGTCTCAAGTAATAATTACAAAGTCAAAACGCTTAAGTAATAGTTGTTGTCGTTGTAATACAAGGCAAGAAACTATGATAAGCAACTACATTTTTTCATGCCACTGCCTACAGATTTAGAGAAGAGTTTAAGAGGTATAAAAATATTTAATTTCATCTTTCACCCAACAAAATAACATATAATACATTGCTCTAAATATCCCAACCTAACTTAACTTCATAATACAAAATACCACAATACTAGATATCATTTAATTCATCAAACAAGCTGCAATTAAGGTACCAAATAGGACCCATGATATCAAAATAACTAATTCATTTTCTTGGAATTGGTCCTTTCTAATGATTTGTAGCCTCCATTTCTTCAACTTTATTCCTCAATAAGTCCCTTTCGAGATAAGCCGCATCCAACATCGACTTCAACATGCTTGTTTCGGTCTCTCCAACTTCAATTATGGCCTCCATTGCTTCAACTTTTTTTTTTAATTTTAATCTTTCAACCTTAACTACATCCAATTGCGACTTCAACTTGCAAATAACAGTCACAACTCTATCCGATAATACTTCATCAACCCATTCGAAATAACCAAAGGAAGTTTTCTGGAAAAATAATTCAAATGATTTCAATCTAGAAAAGAACTGAACAATCACAATATGATAATTATATAAATTAACAACATCAGGTTTAGGACATTTGTAGTTTCTCCGATCAGTGTTGCAAGGAGTGTAAGCCGTAAAGTAGTGCACAATCATACCGCATAAACACCCCCTCTTCGAACCAACTTCTTGAGACGAACAACTATCTTGTGACATTGTTGAAATTAAATGACAGATTTACAGGAACAACAATGAGAAAATTAAATGATCTTCTTGCAATAACAGATGGAGCAAAACAAGAAGAAACCAACTACAAATTTATTGGTGATAATCGGAGGAGGAGGCAAAAGAATTAAGAGATACCATGAATCCTAAGATTTGGGAATGGAGTAAGAAGAAAGAACGGGTCTCTTAATTTGGGTGTAAAATGAGAGAAAAGGGCTTAAGCCTTTCTATTTGAATGAACCCGTTAATGGTTATGGATCGGGTTAAAATCGGGTGTAAAAATGAGTAATCAAGCGATAATTAAAAAAAGAAAGAAAAAGGGTTGGGTGTCTTAAGATTGAGCCACGTGTCCGTTTCAGCTGGGTCCGTTAATGAAAGGGTAATTTTATCTATAACATTAACGTCAGGGATAGAAAGGGTTTAATAGTATAATGGGGGTACAAATAACTAATAAATAATAGTAGCGAAGTAGAAATAGCCCTTTTCCGATGATAAAATTTAGTTTCTTATTTAGTCACTAGTTTTTGAAGCCCGGGACCAAACTCAAGATATAAAAGTAAAACTTTCATTTCACTTCTTTAATATTTTAACTTTCATTTTGAGGAATTTTTTTACTTCAAATCACATGCGGAGCCAAAATTTAAAGTTTATGAATTGTAAATCTTAATTTAAAGTTATTTAGTTCTAAATTAATAATATAGATATTTAGTGAACTTTTAAGACAAATACAGAATTTGAATCAAAACATTACTAAATCCGCCAAACTTATTTTGTGTTTAGAAAATTAAATAAAGTTAACCAAACTAGAGATTTTAAAGATAACCTGATCATGACTGATAATACTGACTTAAATTAAAAATATAGATATTTAGTGAACTTTTAAGAAAAATAAAGAATTTGAACCAAAACGTTACCGGATCCAACCAAACTTATTTTGTGTTTAGAAAATTAATTAAAATTAACCACACGAGAGATTTTGAAGATAACTCGATCATGACAGATAACACTATCTTTTTAAACATATATGAGCTCATTAAAGTTTAAATATGAAGTAAAAGAAATGCCTAAATATAAATAAAAGAATTTTCAGAAATTCTCAAATTTTATAATACAAATAAAAAGTAAAAGAAAGGCCTACATGTACAAAACTATAATAAGCAACAAATGAAAAGGAGAAAGAGATCGACAAGAAACAAGAATCTAGCGAAAAAATTACTATTTTTCAGGTTAATAGATAAGATCAATAGAAGAAAGTAACAGGGAAAATAAAGTGTAGTGGATAAGGCTGCTCCTTCCTTATCAAGGTTTTCGAGTTCGAGCCCGGGTATGAAAAAATTCTTGGTAGAAAGAGCTTCCTCCAAATGAGCCTTACACGACGCGAATTCGAATTAATCGGGCTCTATTATAAATATCGGACACCGAATAAAAAATCGAAAAACAAAAAAAAAATAAGATAGGGCAACGTTTAAGAAGTAAACCGTAAAACAAAAAAAATAAGGTCAAGACCTAAAAGTAATTAATTAAAAAGTTTATATTTTATGGAAAACTTTTGTGAGGACTACAAAAGTCCTTGATTGTCCCTAATTATATACAGTAAATGTAACCACAACTGTCATTTGTACCGTGACTTGACTCTGCTTCTCCACTTACGTGATAACAGGAGAAGTCATTGCCAGTATTCCCTAATATTCATTACAAAACAAACAAATACTTGGTCAAAAAATTCTTTTACAATAATGCAACAAAAAGAATATACATGACATTCTTTTAGTCCATTATGAAAAGATGTACGTTTTTATGTATTTGAGTACTCTCCGATCTACTTCTAATATTTTCATTGTTACTAATATTCTCTTATATAATTAACAATATATATTGATAATTACTAGATTTTAATGATATTTTCGATATGCTATATGTTAACGTGTCAAAAAATTTCCCCCTGAAACCCTCAACTCAATTAAACATCATCATATAAATTAAAATGAAAAGTAACGAGAATGAATAAAGAATAATTTATATAAAAGATATTATAATTAAAAATTAAAATTTTCTTTAAAGTGTGTGAAAACGAGTAATTGGCATGTTAAACAAAGAACAAAATGATTAAGCTACCCGCTATGTCAGTAGGGCCCAGCCGCCGCTGATCCCCTAGCTCCCTTTCACATTTGTCAAAGAATTTACCGAAACCATCTTCTGTCAGTCAAAGTCAAACTTCCACTACTTCGAACACGCCATAATTTACCCACCACCGCCAAGAAAAAGCTGGCTTTGCCGTCAGCCCTGACTTTTCTCCAATATTTAAACTCAATAAAATGACAAAATTACCCCTCCATTCAACAACCCACCCACTCCAGCTAGGTCCCTTTTGTCATTACACACAAGAAAACAAAAAAGACAAAAAAAGGAAGAAAAGAAAGAGACTAGCTTTCTTGTTTCTCCAGCTCAAAGTCTGTAATAGCACTCAAAAAGGCAAGACTCATATGAAGAAGAGAATTACTGTAATAAAAATTAGCAGATTCTGATACCCTTTTAGGAAATTCGAATTGGGTTTGGATTTTCTTGGCCAAAAAAATGGCGTTTAATCCTGGTAGTAGAATGGACCCACAAGCGGCAGCAGAAAAAGCCGTCTCAGTGATCGGGTTCGGTTATGATTTGACGAGTGATATCCGGTTGACGGCGTGTAAACCCGGTCCAAGCGGGTCGGGTTTGATAGAGGTTGATCAGAAGTCGACCAAGGACCTAGTGGTGCCAGGTGGGGTGGTGGTTTCAAAGGTTTCGACTTCAATCAAGTGCGATAAAGGTGAACGAACTAGGTTTCGCTCTGATGCTCTCTCTTTTAGTCAGGTAAGTTTCTTTTTTTCAGCTTTTTTCTCGGCATGTCTTTTTATATTTATTTTTTCTCTAACCGTTTAATATCGGTCTATTGGTATGGATGCTATTTATTTTTTCTCTAACCGTTTAATATCGGTCTAAGGGATTTGGGTAATTGAATTTTTGCGGCTGCTGTTCATTTGCTGGAAAACAGTAAAATTGACAATGAAGAGCTTGTACTTTTTAATCAGTTCATTTAATGGTTTGCCTGAAATTTCATTTCTAGGTTTGCTTCAAAATGGGAAAAAATTGAATCTTTTTGTGAATTTCGTCCTATCTAGTTGAGTTGGGAAGGTTAAATTTAATTTTCCTCGATGATTGGCTTATGCATACAGAAAGAAAAAGTGTCATTTGTGTTGCTATTTCAAGTCTCATACTTGATGAAAAAGTAATGTAGGTACTAGGGAAATTCTGGTCAATTAGTCACAATTTGGATAGAGGCGTTGAGCTATATACTACTGGATAAAGTTTTGCCTGGTTTGCGGAGTTGCATGTGAAGGTATCTGGTCTGATTTGGCCATTAAATAGGACTTCTTGAAGTATTGGTTATTGTATGACAACTAAGTACATCAATCTCTTTGGCTTCCGGAACTTTGCCAATCCTTTTACTGCTGGATAAAATACCTTTGGCAGCTAATCAGCTTGATAGTAGGATAATAGCATCTAAACGCGCAAATGCTGTAGCAGGGCCAGTCAACTTGTTTGGATACATAAACTGCTTGAGTATGGGGTTATAGACATTCTCATTGTGTAGTTACATCGTGACGTTCCTTCTAGGATTAGATTCAATTTTTAAATATTGGATTTTTGCGTTATCTAAATCTTCATCCTCTGTCACTTGTAGTTACTTATCGTTCAACGAAAGACTGGTTAAGGATCCATTGATATTCATCTAATCCAATTAGAATGCTTAAGGAAAGTATTGAAAATTGTACATACTCTTTCTATTTCTAACAATTGGG